GACCAATGAACATGACCCACGAGACCAATTTGCTAAACATCAGGGACACACATGCGATGGACATTCACGCACCGTGGTTCTGTTCATTTGTCCTGTCAAGTCTGCTCGACTCCAATGTCGGAAGTACTCATAAGAGGCGATAATAAAACAATACATATATACACACACACACATCTGTGGCCTCACGTAGAAAAGAAACCAGTGCCCTCGATGGAGAGAGATATAGATCAGTGGCGTAGCTATCGAGTGTGCAGGCGGTTCAACTGCACTGGGCGTGCCCACAAGCGTGGATGGGCAACAGGCACCGGGGGTATGGAGAGAGAGGAGGTGAATATCGGACGGGGATGGTCCGCTTCAATTGCTTTGCAGCGGGGCCCATGCAATGTATGCATGCTAAACTTCTTTCGCACCGTACGTAGCCAACCACGCTAATCGGAGGTGCGATGCTGACCACGCTACGCCACTGAGCTCCGGGATGACGTTAGTCCCACTGAAGTGCAGGCCACGTGGTCGTAACCGGGCGGTTTTAATCTCATCCCAGAGGAGCTATTTAGACCAGATTCCCATCGTGACAACAACAAGTGGCCAATAGTGTAGCGCGCTGCAGTATAAAGCCGGCGTGCCGAGTTCGATTCCCAACCACGTTTTGCATTTTTGTCGACCAGTTGGTGTTATAACGAAACAACGGGAAAAAAAATTAAATTTGTCACAATGAGAACTTGTCTGGCTCTTTCAAAGCACTTGCTCACAGCATACGTTGTTATTATTATCATCATCAAAAAACTATTATTATTTTTGTATGTGAGCGATTCTTTAGCTACGAAACAATGTGGATGGCACTGGGATCAATAACACGTTTCTTAATCTTGTCATTGAACACGTGAACATTTGTCAGTCAAAACACACGAAAGAATAACGGCACTGTTAACTTTGGCATTCACCCATTGCCATCGCCCCATTCCTCCTCCTACGTGAGCCCCAAGATGTATCTTTCACACCTCGTGTTTCGTACTGTATTGGAACCATGACACGTTTCGGTCGGCTGAGCTTAAACAAAATGTAGACAGTTTGGGCATCATTCCCACTCATATATATTGGTGTCAAAATCAAGGACTTGGCCCCGCAATTGGAAAATGCCAATCTTGACGATTGTGTCAATGCCCCCCCCCCCTGCTCCTTATGTAGATTCCTGGGATCGCACACCAATCAGAGGATTGGGGGGGGGGGTCCGCGGTGCATGGGAGCGCGAGCATGCACCGCGGGAAACGCGACGACACAGACCTGCTGGAGGTGTGCAAATGATTGGACTTTTTGGCAGCCCGCTGTGACCGCGTGACCCGCCGTTACCCTCTCCCCACGTAGCAGAAGTGCCGAGCCCGTTTGGGGGGGGTCGACGCTGACCGTCTTGTTGACTCTCTCCAAACATGTGACATTTGGTCGGCGAATTTTGGCCCAAACAAAACAAAACCTGTCAAAATGGATATATATATTGTTGTATATGCGTGTGTTATAAAAAAAAAACCGGGACATTTTTTGCCTTTCAACCAAACACGAGAGCGACAACCGTGTCATGTCACCCTGCAACCGAGTGCTTAACCGTCGTTAAATCCACATAAGGTGGGAATAGCCGAAACGTCCACCCGTAATCACCCACCCAGCATCGTTACAGGGAGACGTACTGAAACAAATTTCATGAATACGATGGCGGTTGTTCCAATGGAGACCGCGTGAATGCGTGGTAGGGAATCGTACGCATTGTACGTGTCTATAGAAGAGTGCATGTGCTCTAAACATGCATTGTACGTTATTTTAGGAGAATACACGTGCTCCGTACGTGAACGTACGGGCGAGATAAACGGGGAATGGTAAGCTGACGTATTTTACTCTCGCCGAATAGTTCAGCTATGCGGACTGAACGGGAGTCAAACCTACATTTCCTATCTCGGCAGTCAGCTCGTTTTCGCATGTCAACACCCGGCCTGCTTACCGCGCGCGCGCTCATGAACACATATACACATACACGCGAGCTTCTGCAGCATACACCTGCATCACATGTGGCGTATGTACACGTGTGCGCATCTACAGCATGCGCAGACGTGTATACGTACAGATAAGTGCGCACACATTGCCTGGCAAGACATCCGGCTATTAGTTTTAATTTTAAATGACCCTTATTGAGAGCGTATAACGTTAACATTGACCTATACGTGTGGAATGCGGCTATGTACACACGAATAATAACAACAAAATATATCTCTGTATAAATACTGTTCGCGTTGGCAAGAGAGCAACTCATGGTGCCGTCACGAATAATCGTGTCTTTTGCGGTCGCTTGAAATGTACAGATCGTCTTCTCGATTCAGCTCAACGTTACACACGCGCTTGAAGGGGCTGAAATTTTGTTTTCTTTTAACTCACTCTGTCTGTTGTCGTTGTTGTAGCCTCAAATCTTGTAACTCAATTTTAACCCACTTCCCAATGGGGTATCGACTGCAAACTTGGTATAATGATGTCATACTGATGACAATAATATATTCTATCATAAGACATACAAAAAAAATCTATATTTTTAAACATTCTTTTTTATATGTTATGTTTCAGCTCGGGTCTAATTGTCCACGGTCAAATGACCGTTGGCTGTAATTGGGTCACGGTCCCTTACATTGTGGCAAGCTTCGGGGCCACTTCCTCGAGTCGTGGAGTTCTGCCATTACTAGTACATTTCATAAAAGCGTGTTTTATTTTTTTTTAATATTACTTATTACCGGCAGAGCCTGCCCTAGGAGACAACTCGCAATTTCAGCAGCCTGTCTGGACGTTTCCATAGGTATCATTCCCCCCCCCTCTCCCCAACCTGTCTCCCCTACTTCGTGGACATGCCAGTTGGACCGGCCCAGAAATTCCTCGCCGGTTCACCTCCGGACTCTCTCGAAGGTACGATGAGAGGCGTTCGAGAGGTCAATCGAAACGGAGCGTACCGCGCGCATCCACCACGGGTGCCAGTGTAGCTCATCCCGATGGCCTGTCCTTGGTGGACCGTGTCAGCTGTTCGGGATGACGTCACGGCAATGACGTCACGGCACCCGTCACAACACGAACGCTTCAGCGTTGGAGCGCCCGAGTGAGTACTGTGCTCATCTTGTTCATCGGTGGAGAGAAGGGGTGCGCGTGGCTTCCAAATAGACATCCTTACAAAGAGAAAAAAACGATTGCACCGATTTTGAATGACAGATTTTGATTCTTCCCAATCAGCGAATCCTAAGTTATTTCATTATTACCGGCGTGTAGATATTTGTTCTGGCTTTGAGCGACATTTTGCGAAAGGAACTGCGAATATAGTTACATTTTAATTTTATTTGGCCTATCAATTTCCCAAACCACATTGTAAGCGCATTTGAGGCAAAACCGCCTTGAAACGCTTCAGGCCTTTTTGAGACAGTTCACAATTTAGGTCTAGATTGCAACAATTGTAAAGTCTGCGGGGGAACGTTCGCGCGCATTGCTTGAAGATTCGTGCAACATCGCATGCAGGGCACATGAACGTTCGTGAAGTCTGCATAATAAAAACGATTAAACTCTTAATTTTATTTTACCAGGTAAGTCCCACAGAGCAATGTAGAAGCTCTCTTACAGAAGCGACCTGGCCACAAATGATAGCCCAACAAAGTAGCTCATCGCGTGGACATTTATAGCAGCCAAATACTCTTAATGTGTGATGTTGATTCTAAATGTGGGGGGTTGGGGGGAACTGGAGGACCCGGAAAAAAATCCACGAGACCACGGGAAGAGAGAGACACCGCAAACTCCAAATATACAGCAGGTATCCGTCAGGGTCGGGATGGAATTGTCCGTGAACCACCTGCATATTCACGTCACTCTACCAAACGTCACTCAGTTGAACCAATCGGAAACCGAAGCATTGGGACGATATACCCCCCCACCACCCCCCCCCCCCCCATTGTATCGAATGTAGAAGATATGCAAGTGAAAAGTGGACACCACTTTGACAGTCTTTGCTTTACAAAGACGCAGTTGATCACGAGTCATCATCGTCATTGTCGTCGTCCATCGTTATCATCGTCCTTGCCTCGTTGTGTAATATTTGTGCTACGTAAGAACCGCACATTCACAGTGCCCCTTGGAGTTGGCCACCCACCCTGTCGTGTCCCCTGCCAGCGTTCATAGGTCCTCGAAGGGTATAACAACGGGGGGTGTAACGACACGTCGATTCGTTGTGATTGAAATCGACTCTCTAAGCTTGCCATGTGTGAATGGCGCGAGTAAGAATCAATGTTGGTTCTATCGGGGTGCCTTGCACGTGATGGGTTTACGCGAACTCTGAAGCCACGAGAGGTGCTACCATTCACCGCAAGGTAAAAAAGAAACCTCCTTCAATCCACACATTTTCTTATCCGCAAGATCTACCCACATCGTCTTCGCGTGAACTCGCAATAGCGTACGTGATGCATATGAATACGTATGTTTGTATGTATGACTAATATGTGCTCGCTCAGAGTCCTTGCCCCAACTATCTGTTGAAAGGATATATGGAGGATTTTTTGGATTTTGTTTGTATGACTGGAAACATTCATTCACGTGTTTGAACTTGCACTGGGCGGACCAAAAGTTCCGAGAATGAGAAACTATTCCTTGCAATGCGGTATCCCAAGCTGTTGTTCGAGGATGTAAGCCCTTCCCTGTCGACAAGTACTGTGCAGTCCTCTTCACTCGAGTAAGTGCATTCGTCTTAGGGATGGTTAAGTTTCACAAGAGCAATTTAACATGTAGGCCACGTAAGGCACAATTCTGAAGCTGGATGTAATCACCAGCGAAACGTCGTACTCAAATTGCAAATGTCGCGGGTTTACTCTCCAATACACAACCGGAGGTGCTGAACTAGTAACTAATTGGCACGTTTTGTTTACCTGAAAAACCTGACTAATTGGCTTTGTCGGGTGGTGGCGGTGGGTTTAACGACAAATACATATTTACGCGATCTAACCCCACCCCCACCCTCCCCCCCCCCCCAAAAAAAAAAAACCTCTATAAGAGCAACAGGCACAAGCCTGGGCGAGATGAGTATCCTGGTTCCAAAGCGTTTTCACTCCCTTGTACATGAGGCATACGGCAGGCATCGTAACTGCGTTTGAGTCGTGATACGAGTACGGTCCGGGCCACTCTTGGAAATTTGGACTGCCATGGTCTTTCGAGTCTTCACCCGGCCCAACAAAAGACCCTTCAACTCCGGGAACCTGACGATCAATTAGGCATCCGTCTGGTTTTGTATCGTTCCTGACACAGGAGGGACAGGGAGGGGGGAGGTGAATTGTGACACACAAGGGAGATCGTTTAATTTGCCTCCCCCCACACCCCCGGTGATTCGATGAATCGTCATTATTCACGACTGCAATTCGACTGGAGAACCCATTCTCTCCACCGTCTTGTTTGTATATTTTACCGTGGGGTTTTGTGTCGTTTGCACAGTTTTATTCGCCCCCAATAACCTACATGTAACAGCGTATACATTTTCCTTCGCATAATTCGCACAACTCGATGCGTGTACCCAAACGCGACGCGCCGCTGGCGCCCCAGGAACACCCCCCCGCATCGTTCCTGCCGCTACGTTGCCGAGGAACGACTCGCGGAATGACACGCGTCGAGACCAAGCCACTCGGCCCGCGGTGCGGCAGCACAACGCGATCGTTCCTCTCCACGTCCCCCGCAGCCGGGCACTGGGTCACCAGCGCCACCGCCGCCACCGCCGCCACCACCACCACCACCACGGGCGGCGACAACAACGACGGCGCCGTCCGCCAGGGCGCAAGCGGTCGAGTGACGAAGCCGGAGTCCTCGGCGAGTTCGGCGGTGCGAGCGTCGCCCCTGCGCTGGGTCACGCCGGACCCTCTCTCGCGCCCCGCGCGCCGAATTCGTGCTCTCGCCGGCGCGGCCATTGCGCAACTCCGCGGGGTGCCCTTCGGCCCGAGTCGTCTGTTTGACGAGACCGAGGCTGGGTGGGGGGGAGGTGTTGGCTCCAGCGTCCACGCATGTGTTGTTTTTCCGTCCACAAACCCCCTGCGGACAACGCCTTCGCTCACCGTCCATCGCACAGCTCTCTCTCTCTCTCTGTCTTCCGTCGTGGCTACGCGAAACAAGAGCAAAGTGGAAAAACGCCGGCCACTCAACCCAACCCCCGCTCCCCCCAATTGTTTCGTTTCTCCGTTCGATGAACGCCATCGCCGAGAAGTGAAACGGAAGCACGAGCCGCCTCCGGCTCCGGCGTCGCGTCGAGCGGATGGGTCGGGGTGGGTGGGTTGCGATGTCAATGGACAGAACCGGCACCGCCGGCGCGGCTTCCACCCTCCTCCCCCTCTCCGTCCACCGTCGAACGGAGCTCGCCGGCGGCGAGGCGGCACCGGGGCCCGCCGGGAGCCGTCCGGCCGGATCATCCGTCCTTGCAGGTGTAGATCTCCTCGCGCTTGGAGCACTGCTGGCACTGCACGTAGCAGCACCAGTGCACCTGGCAGTGGCACGGCTGCTCGGCCGTGTGCACGCGCGTGTTGTAGCCGCGCCCGCAGCACACGCTGTCGCAGTTGCGCCCCTTGAGGCAGCTGCGGTTGGCGGTGCCCGGGGAGAAGCGGCTGGCGCGGCAGTAGCTGGGCGAGTCCTCGACGTAGACCAGCTCGCTGACGGGCGGGCGCCGCGACCTCGCCAGCGAGCCCTCACCCGCCGCCTCGTTGCTCACGCTCAGCACCTGCGGGCGGGGTCATGATCAGGGTCAGGGTCGAGAGGGTCAGGGTCGAGAGGGTCAGGGTCGAGTGGGTCAGGTGGGGAGGGTCAGGTGGTGAGGGTCAGGTGGTGAGGGTCAGGTGGGGAGGGTCAGGTGGGGAGGGTCAGGTGGGGAGGGTCAGGTGGAGAGGGTCAGGTGGTGAGGGTCAGGTGGTGATGGTCAGGTGGTGAGGGTCAGGTGGTGAGGGTCAGGTGGTGAGGGTCAGGTGGTGAGGGTCAGGTGGGGAGGGTCAGGTGGTGAGGGTCAGGGTCGAGAGGGTCAGGGTCGAGTGGGTCAGGTGGAGAGGGTCAGGTGGTGAGGGTCAGGTGGTGAGGGTCAGGTGGGGAGGGTCAGGTGGTGAGGGTCAGGGTCGAGAGGGTCAGGGTCGAGTGGGTCAGGTGGAGAGGGTCAGGTGGTGAGGGTCAGGTGGGGAGGGTCAGGTGGGGAGGGATGCGCTCGGTCATTGCCGTGGCCAGGGTGGCAGAAGTGGGGGGATTCGGGGGGGGGGGGGTCGGGGGGGGTGGGGGAGGTGGGGGCCTGGGTGGGGGGTGACGGCCGGTGGCTCAAATGTTTGGTGCTGGCGGAGTGCAAGAATGGTGCCTTTCTCGGACAACCTGGGCGCCAAACTTGTCACTCCGGCTCTGGCCAGGGGTCGTGAGAGATGAGGCGGCCGTGTGGCTCAGAGATCGCAGCCTGCAACTGCAACTCTCTTTCTGTTTCTTTCCACGCACCGCTCGGCTTTGCAATTTCCTCCCGCCGCCTCTTTTCTCGAGTCCTCACAACCCTCTATTAGAGCTTTCACAGCTTCAATGGTGCTGTTTTCTTCCGGTAGTTTGGCGTTTCGTACCTTTGGGCCTGTGCTCAGCGATCGTGATAAAACACGAGAGAAGAGGTTAGCTGCACTGTGGTTGGGCTCTCCAGCGCAATGCGTTGATGGTCTTGACCCTATCACCGACGACTGCACCCAAATTTATAACTAATTTCTTTACAAGTGCTTTTTTGTGTTTAGTTTGTTGTCCTTCTCCCTTCACCTCCGATTAGTAATGTACGGTGCGAAATAAATGGAACATACATACCTACCAAATATAACACACGGCAAAACATGATTTTCTTTTCTAATTCGCTTAGCGAACATTACAGCTCTGAGAAAGAAAACAAACATTGGTTGGACTGCCACACATCGAACACCTCAATGTCAGGGCACGTGGAGAGTACAGCACCGCTTGTGCAGATAACAGGTCACTCAGATGGATCTCAGGAGCAAAAGCATGAGATATTGGACGTGCCATCGCACGACAGCAAAGAAAAATTGTGGAAACATCGATCCTAATTCCCAGAGACTTTAATGAATCCGGGTCATTCCGCGTCGGCAACCCATCAAATTTAATCTGAATCAGGATCTTGATTTTGACTGTCGGAGGAATCCGATGAGCTACGAAGCGATTTTTCTAACTGATGTCCGGTGGGGATGGGTCAGCAAGTGTTCGCATCCAGCACACTGCATCAGGTATGCCTTTTTCTGTGGCCCTGGCCACGAGTCACGTGGCGCCTTCTCCAGTCTATATACCAGTGACCCGGACCAAAAAAATATCCAGTGAGAGATTAAGCCCGGATAATACCTGTGCCAAGTAAACGCCGGTTGGTCAATGATCGTTGAGTGAGTGACCGGCTGGAGGCGACCGTACATTAGTCATTTTCGCGTCGCGACCAAGATGAGACATGAATGAACCTGACGGCCCAGCCGTCATAAGCCGCCCGTGCCGTGAGAAAGCACGCAATGCGGCTAACGGCTCTTAAGCGAGTGCGTGGGGCCGCGTGGGGTCTGTGTGTGTGTGTGTGTTGAGTTGGGTGTGTGTGTGTGTGTCGAGTGTGAAATGGCTATTTTGTCAGTGGATTTTGTCAGTGGATTTTTCGGGCTGTGGCAACACGGAGACACTTTGCGGTTGGAAACGTAGCTTTGGGTCGGGCGCACGAAGGGAGCGGTGAGAGGGCGTTTGTGCAGGCGAGAAACGCAGCCTCGATTTGTTAACTCGTCCCAACGGATTATGTATTCCATTCAACATCATCAGCAGCAACAGCCACGATCAATCCACTGCTGGATCAAGGTCTCCCCAAAGCTGTCGCCGCCATCTCTCGCGATCCCTGCGACGTAACCATCCGCCTAGCACCTGCACAGCACGCGAGCTAAATTCGCCAATCCATCTCCACTGCGCACATGCTCTCAGGCACGTTATGTCCCAGGGAAGCCAATCTGTTGCTATTCTTGACCGTCGATCACCGTTCTGTTCGTGCGCCATCGCGGGACGCCCGTGAAATCCTTCCAGCCTGACAGCTCATTGGGGCCTTTTCAGGCTCAAGCGAATGCACTCTAAATCTACATCGTTCGCGATTGCATAAAACCCGAACGTACGCAATCATCAATTCAGCCGCACAACCCTCTATGCCAACATGAGCTCAGGGTGACGGAGACTGCCGCTGCCAGCCCGCCGATCTTACAGGCCCGACGGCGTTTCTCCCCGTGTGTGCACCCGGAAAGGAGGCTCTCGTTTCAGAACCAAACCAAATACATTTGTCGTCCCAGGAACGATGGGGTTGCCGGGGGGACGGGGTGCTAGTCAAACTCTCAGCCATGGCTAATGTCAGTGAAAATCGATTTCCGATTCCGCACCCCCCGCTCCACCGGCCTGCGGCAATCGGCGTGGCGGGTCATGGCGGGAACAACCGCCGTGGCCGGCGCACCATGGGGGGGAGGCCCCTTTTCCTTCTCCTTTCCCCGCACCTCCGATTATCGCGGTTGGCTATGTACAGCGCGAGAGAAGTTCAGTGTACGATACGCACATACGCAAGTCCGGCAAGTGGATTGGCGTGGTGGTGGTGGTGACCAACGACGAACGGGCGACGTAGGAGTCCGCGGGCGAAACTGCAGCGGGTTTTACCGGAGAGCTGATCTAAACGTGGCGGGCGAGACGCGAGACCCCCGTTCGTCCTGCAGCGCCCGGGGGAAGGAGCCCTGCTCTACGTAAACACAAAGCTAATTGCACATCTTCTCCCACAATTGGCTGGAGGCAGCAGCGGGGGGCCCCCTATTCCCCCTTCTTCCCTCCTACCCCCCCCCCGCCCCCATTTTCGTGCGGTTCCGTCGCGCCCGGAATGGATTACCTGCGGATTTTCTGTACCCCTGTTCACCGAAACGTTTTCGGCGTGTTGTGTCGGACTCTCGTTTTGTTGTAATAAAAACGTCAAAAAACACTTTGCTAATCGCTCGTGCCGAGGTGCTTCCTCCCAGTGCCACCATGCACCCCTTCTGCCATTCGCTGGCGCGGCCAAAGCTGAAGCTAAAACAATATATTTTATTTTACCAGGTAAGGGCCCACTGAGCTATGTAGCTCCCTTTCAGAAGCGACCTGGCCACAAATACTAGCTCAATGCAGTGGCTTATCGTGTGGGCATTTTTCGGAGCCAATTACTCTAAATATACGTGTTATATTGATTCTAAATGTTGAAGGGAAAAACTGAAGGACCGAGAGAAAAATCCACACGATCACAGGGAGAGAGACATGCAAACTCCAAACATACAGGTGTCTGGGTCGGTATCGAACCCACGGCCTCCTGTATACCTTGCGAGGTAATTGACATCTCGCCACCGTGGTGCGATGGCATCCCAAGGCCTAGGATGCCGTCGCACTCGGGGGCCTTTGCCGACTCAAGTTCGACGTACGTACTGTACGTCGAACTTCTTTCGCACCATACACAGCCAACCGTGCGAACCATCGGTGCCGCTTCGTAGGGCCGCGACTGCTGCTCTCACAAGCGCGGAAAGCCAAGCAGGCTTGAGCGTGGAGAGTGCTTGGATGGGGAAGCGCCGCTCACGACAGGTCGTTACAGGATGATGATGATGGTGATGATGATGCTGCTGCTGTAGGGTTATATAGCGAAGGCCAGAAAGCAGTGCGGCAGAAATCCATTGTTGTGCTGTAATCCACGCTCAACACCTACACCAACCTGCACAGACCAGCGTGGTGAAGCATGGTCAAATGACCCCCATGACCTCCATGGCATGGGCCGACCCTCAGTCAGCAGTGGATTGACTTGAAAAGTATCTACTCTTTGCGTTCAATTCACAAACAAGCAAAGTATATCTGTAGCCCGCTCACTTATAATAAACTATTTACGCATTGGTATGTTCTGTGCTGGAGTGAGTGGTGGCGCACATTGCGCTGTGAATCTGGTGACATTTGAGTACAATTCCAAACAGAGAATCCAGAGAAAGCCCAGCACGCACACAAGGGGGTTGACACTCGGCACTGCCAACCCCTCGCAGCACGAAATGCTGCCGGTTGACACAAGACGAGAAGGCCAATAGGCCAATGGACTAAACCAAGATATGCACCGTGAAGGGGGTGTCGCGGTGGTGTAGCGGTTAACACACTGTGCTTTGAATCCAGCTGCCACACTGTTCAGTCAGCAGAGAACAAGACCACTTCAATTATAACCTGCCACTCTTGTTAACCGTGGTATCGTATCAACCTTATGGGCACCACGGTGGTGAGATATGTTAACTACCTCGTCTGGTATACAGGAGATCGTGGGCTCGATCCCGACTGATGCCTATATATTTGGAGTTTGCAAGTTCTCTCCGTGGTCGTGTGGATTTTTCTCTGGGTTCTCCGGTTTTTCCCCTCCACATTTAAAATCCACGTGCCTTTAGAGTATTAGGCTGCTGTAAATTTCCACGTGATAAGCCACTTCGTTGAGGTATCATTTGTGGCCAGGTCGCTTCTGTAAAAGAGCTACATAGCTCAGTGGGCCTGACCTGACAAAATAAAAATAGTAGTCATATAGAACAGGGCCCTCAACCCCCGGGCCGCGGACCGGTACCGGTCCGTGGCCTGTTAGGAACCGGGCCGCACAGCAGCAGCAGCAGGAGGTGAGCGCGGTGAGTCCGCGCGTGGCCCGCCCCATTATTTTATTATTTACCACTTCCGTCCGCGCCTCTTTCCCGCACTGCACACTTGTCTCAGTCACAGTCTTGGTAAGCCCACAAGCTAATCTCTAGTAGCCAAGATGAGTAAAAAACAAACGTCGCTGGAGAGCTTCTTTGAAAAGGGGGAAAGACCCAATGATGACCCCCCCCCCCCGGTCCGTGAAAAAATGTTCTTCCACGAAACCGGTCCCTGGTGCCAAAAAGGTTGGGGACCGCTGGTATAGAACTACGACCAATGGGTTCATAGTGCAGTGGGAAAACCGCTGTGCCGTCACATCCCACCCCTTATAATCGGGTATTCCACACAAATTAAAAAAGCCACACCTCGGAATGTCCACACCAGTAAAAAGTCCCAAATAAATCACGGGGGAATAAGCCACTTTGGAAATACATATACTTTAAAGCATTTTCAATTCTTGAACATTTGATCCGGATGTGTGACGCGGTCGAGTGCACTTATCGTCGAGCGGCTGTGTATATGGACTTTCAAATTAGGGTAATTGTGGTTTGGAGAGTCGTTACGAGACTCCCCGGGTGAACGGCCCTCGCTCTCGCGCCGGACGGAGGCGCGCGAAGCCGCGCAGTCCCGCCGTGCATCTCGGGCTCGTGGGAAATTCAGATTTTGACAAAGACGCGCGGCACGGTATTCGCTAAACGACAGTCAGATCTCATCGTTAGCAGCCCGTAGGTGGGGCAAGGAAATTGGCTCGCGTGCAGGAGGAGATGGCGTGCAAGATTGTCACATCGCAGGACCGTGAGACTAGGTGATGGCTTGGGGAAAGCTTCATCCAACAGCGAATAGATCATGGGACACGATGATGATAATGTTTAACAGCAGATACATTTCCAACAATGCTGAAAGCTGGCAGTGCAATGTGCAATAATCAAAGTTGTGCCTTCTTTAGTCTGTCTACTATATAAAATGCCTTTTAAAAGTCCCTCACCGCTTAGACTTCATTTGTGCCGTCAAATAGTCTCATGCTATACATATAATATCATACACGCATTTGTGGGACACTTAGAATTCAAGTTTGTTATTTTCAAGTTCAAGCCTCCTGATTTAAACGAGATTAAACTTTTTTATTTTGCCAGGTAAGGCCCACTGAGCTATGTAGCACTTTTTCGGCAGCGATCTGGCCACAAACGATAGCTCAACGAAGTGGCTTATCATCACGTGGAAATGTATAGAATCCAAATACTCTAATCGCGTGAAGTTGATTCTAAATGTGGAGGGGAAAAAACCGGAAGACCTGGAGAAGAATCTACGCGACCACGGGGAGAACATGCAAACTCCATACATAGAGGCTTCAGGGTCAGGGATCGAACCCACGGTCTCCTGCATACCACGTGAGGCAGTTAACATCTCGCCACCGTGGCACCCCAATCCGTGTGTCTGTTAAACTGAAGCACGGCAAGTTTAAAGACGATCGCTCAATATTTACCGGGTGCTCAATGCATGACAGTAAACGCACACAAAGTCCAAGTATAGGGGCACAGACACAGAGTAGAATAAGAATGGATCCTGAGCAGCTTCTAAATATGACCGGAGTAGAATGAGAATCCTAGCTGCTGAATTTTACACCGAGAAACTGGGATTATGGTAATGCCAGCAAACTAAAACTCCTCTTTTCCAATTCGCGTACTAAAAGCGGTGCCCTGCCATAGCGAGAGGCATACTGGATGCGGTGTGACAGTCTGCCAATGCACACAAAGGTAAACGCTGCGGCAGCTCTGCAACCGTTCGCTCGCTCTTGCACTGCTGGCGGAACGGCCTCCGCCGAAGGCAGCTCCAGAGGTCCCCCTCTCTCTCGGGGGCAATTTTGGCCTCCTCTTCCAACGCTGAAGCAGACGTCTCGGACGAGGCGGGAGCGCACACAATTTATACCACCAGGCACCCGACCTTCCCACGTGCCCTGCTGGGCAGAGAGGGCCGAGGAGTTGAAGTAACTTGCCCAGATGACTCCCGGGGCAGCGGTGCCGACACCACCAAACAAAGACAAAGATCCCCCATGTAGCCTCAACAGACCGTTTGGGCAAGTGCTGTTAGCGAGCTCCTATGAAGGCCGGCATGGCACACGAAGGGGTGGGTGGCAAACCAGGTATTCATTCGAGGCTGAGTTGACCTAAGGGAGACCCATGACCGGTTCAGCGGTGTTGGTGGCCGTGAGCGGGAATCGAACTTGGGTCGCCGGGTTCGTAGCGTAGCACGGCACTAACCGCTACACCAATTAAGTGACGGTGACATCACCATGGCACCTTTGCCAGGCCAGGCGCATTTTGAGGCCACGTGAAGTGTCGAAGGCTCGCTGCTGGCAGGAGGAGGTCACGGGGACAGACCCAGGTGCCGTGGGGTCGACTGACGTGAGATGCACCGGCAAATGCGCCAACAGATGCACCACCAGCAGCAACACCAGTAGCACAAGCGGCAATCGCAGCAGCACCAGCAGCAGCAGCAGCGCCAGCGCTCACCTTGACGGCCGTGTCGTAGCGCTGCTTGAGCTTGCGGCCGATCTCGGGGAAGGGCGCCAGCTGTAGCCAGCAGGTGCGCACCGTGCACGAGCCCGACACGCCGTGGCACTTGCACGTCGTGCGCACGCCGCTCTTCACCATCTTCCGCCGGTTGGTCCCCAGCAGGCATAGGAGGAGGGGAGTGGCGGTTGTGTTGGTGGTGGTGGTGGTGGGGGGGGGTGTGCGCGAAGAGGGAAGATCAAAGTTAGCAACGTCGGAGGCGTCCCAACGGAAACGATGGCGGCTGCCGAGCTGCGACGATGCGCCGACGCTGTGACAATCGAAGCGATTGTCGCTGGAGATCATTGGGAGCGTGGGACGAGGCCGGACTGGTGTCGCCTTCATAACGTCGTCATCGCGGTTCAGTGTTGACGTCTGAAGGGTGTCTCACAATGCAACGGAGTTATTCCTCCACGGTGAACGAAACGCAGCGCCCGCAAACCGCGCCGGCATCGGATTGACAGGCGACGGCCCAGTGGGTATCTATAGACTATTATACTATTCAACTATTATTAATTTACACATGGCTTATCATGCGAAAATGTACAGCAGCCACATACTCTAAACGCGTGATGTTGATTCTTCATGTGGAGGGAAAAAACCAGAGGACATGGAGAAAAATCCACGCGACCACGGGGAGCGACACGCAAACTCCAAATATACACGTGGCAGGGTCGGGATCGAACCCACGACCTCCTGCCTACCAGGCGAGGTAGTTAACATCTCGCCATAATGGCACCCTGCACCATGGCACAAACTCCGGCTCAGATCTCCGGATGACCAAAGCTACACGAGCACGCGTGGCTTTGTTTACATAAACATCATAATCATAATTAATTATTACTTGTACCGCCTCTTTATTGAAGTTAGCTATCAGTTCCTTACTGAGTCACCATCACAATAACGTTAACTCAAGAAGGAAGGGATGATGATGATGATGACTGCACACCGAATACGATGCTCAAACAATACACCGCGTGCGGGTTTTCATGAGGCGAATTGTAATTACCGCGATGGATATGTCTGGGAGCACGTGTGTTGTTTTTACATCGCGGATGCGAATTGGCAATAACGCGATTGAGGTGAGCGGAACTACGTCGCGCGAGTCGGGAATAAGCGGCCGTGCGGCTGCCTCGGTGTAGCGTCACACAAGGCGGGATGCTGCTGGATGCTTCTCGACGCCACCAACCACGCGCCTCAAGCCTTTGCCCAGCCTGCGTACGCATCTCGCGTGTTATCGCGGGCCGCGCTTTACCCTATGCTAAGGATGCGCATTTATTTAGTTATTTATTATGACGCGATTTCCCCCCACAAAGCGGTTGTTGTTTTAGGAACACGGCTATCACCGCGGCGTCGTAGGAAAACCGACTGTATAGACGAGATAATAAAATTTGGACAACATTGCATTGTGGCAGACAGCTTCCCGCCAGGCAAGTTGCTCGAGGAGTTAGAATCGTCGACACGAGTAAAATGCCAGCGGCTCGTGACATGCGCGTCAGATTGCACGTGCTTGCGAGAATGCTTCTGTTACGGTTTCACGTCAATCAATTGAGGCTGAGCAAAAGTATAGGAACGAGGGAGAAGCAAAGGAGAAAGGGTGCAAAAGGGGGGATGGGCAAATGAGTCAGAGTAATTGACCCTTGAATCAAACCGTGGGTTTCTGGTGAATCGCTCCACCCGTATTGCAGACGCATGCATTGCTGTGCGAAGATGCAGTTGCATTCAGGTGGTTAAGAAACATACAATGCTTTGCAATGACCACGTATTATTATCATTAACCCCCTACTTCAGCAGTGTTTTCTTGCTGTGGTTGTCCCACCTGATGACGATTGCTTGTGTTGCGATCGAAACGTGGTGATCTATTATTTTTCTACCTACGTGACTTTACCGAAAGAACCAAAAAGAGTGTGGATTCCTGCAGTCACGAAAGCTTCAAATCATCATTAACAATGATGATTTACATCCATGTTTAATGCACTGCTTGAATAATGCCCTACCCATGCTGTGGCACCAGTGGCGTAGTAACCGCAGCTGAGGTGGGGTCCCAATATTTGATTTGTCTAACACGGTCGCACCTAGGCTAATGCACAATCACATCATGAAATACGTTGTTGTCCTTCTACACCGTTATTGAAAACATATCTCGCGGTGGTTGTCAAGGGGACCCCAACTCAGAGCTTTGGCCACTAAGGGACCCTTGTCGGCACGCGAGACACGCGACTGCGTGCCACTCATGGGGGTAGTTTGACCATACCTCGCCACGTTGGTCAATGCAGGATGGTGAGGAGAGGTTCAGGTATCGCTCGCCACTGATATTAGCTCGCCTTGGCCGGGAATAGAACTCAAAATCACCGGGTTCAGAGAGCAGCGCGCCTACCAAAGCGCCACCGCTCAACGTCCTTTATACAGCCAGCAATCGAGGCTTGTTTTGGGTTACATCGCGTAAAAATATAAATGTGTCGTTAAAACCCGCCACCACCCGACACAGCCAGCTGGTAAGGGTTGTTACGTAAACATAACGTGGCCAATTCGTCACTAGTACAGCACACCGGTGTGTTGGAGAGCCAATCCACAACATTTACAATCCTTTATACACAGTGTTGTCTTGTGTTACTGGGCGTTAAGTCGAGTTGTGTGTAGACCAATGGAGAGACAGGATGCACTGACACTATACGTGTGACGATGCATCGATTCACGGAGTTAACACCAATCTTGTCAGCTCACGATGCACGCATAAAACAGCGTGCGCGGTAATCGATGTTTGTTGATCCGTACATTGCTTATATATGCGAGAACCGGTCCTGGCTCACAATTCACAAACCGACTCTGAAATATGGTCAAGCAACTGCCCTTCCTCCAGCAGTGAACTATCACTGCTGGATGAAATAAAGTTCGTATGTATATGTTCACGTGACCCATGCAGCCACTAGAGCCCACTACATTAATCACAATGGTACTACTGTCTCACCGTGCTGAGTCAAATAGCAGCCCTTCCGGGATTGGGGGCGCGTGAGTGAAGGACGGTGGCGTGGGGAGGGGGCGGATCCTCACATCTCTCTAACAAAGACAAAGATACCCCCCCCCCCCGTGTAGCCTTAACAGGCTGTTGGGGGCAAGTGCTAGCGAGTAGCAGCTATGAAGCCCGGCACAGCACACGAGGGAGTGGGTGGCCAGCACCGCGCCCGGCCGCCTTTGTCTCCTAATTGCGACACTGCATTACAATGTTCTTAGACACTAGCAACGCGCACATCATTAGCACGTGACCGTCCGTCCGTCCCTCCAGCCACCTACCCAGCCAGCAAAACCTTAAACATACATATCGTATGATTTATATCGGATCATCTTTGTGAGAGTATTAGGGGACCCCCCCGGGGACCCCCCCCCCCCTTTACAGAAAGGCGGACATATAGACAGAGTGATATAGGACAGAGCGCTGAGCCGGCAACGCTGAGAACCTGGGTTTGAATCTGGGTCGCAATCACCCTCGCTAAACCGGGTTCTCAAGTGCAGCTAGTTGACGGTCTAAGCCCGGTAACCAATGGCTGAACACAGCACCCCCACAACATTACATTTGGTGAACTAAAAAAGGTAAAAAAAGGATTCGTTTCTAAACTGTTACTGAGATGCAAGGACAGCCTTGACGTTTCAGTCAACTGGCCTTATTCATAAATGTGGTGTTTTACCTAATGTGGCTACTTTCAGCTCGTATGTATACAGGTGAGCTGGAGTGTAGTGGTGAGCGCTCTATCTATGGGATATAAACCCGGCGACCCGTGTTCGATTCCTGCTCAGGGCGAACACGAGTGACGACTATCTGAACCAGTCATAGGCTTCCCCTTGGATGTGTATAACATCACCAACAGGCACACAAAGGCTGCCGGGCGTGGTGCTGGCCACCCACCGCCTCGTATGCCGTGCCGGACTTGTATGTACAGGATGTTGAACTTCTTTCGCACCGTACATAGCCAGCCATGCCTAATCGAAGGTGCTCGCGAGCAGCACTTGCCCCAACAGTCTGTCAAAGCTTAATGGGGGGGTGGTGGATCTTTGTCTTTGAATTGATGCCCTGGGTTATAAAGCTGCAGTGCTGACGATATTGACAGTGAATCGTGTATATCCTCGGTCATCCTCACTGCTTAGCCTGGACATTTGTGAAAAAGAACTTCATAGCTCATAGGATTCCTCCGGTATAAATAATGATTCGGAAATCCATCTGTTGCTCATAGGCCCACATCTTTTCGGTTCTCCTCTATCTCCTGTGTGACCGTCTGCTTCTGTCTCTCACTATGAAGCGTCTTCTTTGTCTCTCCTATAGTCTGCGACCACTATTCCTCTCCTCCCCGCCACGCTCTGAAAATTACCTCCACGACAGAGGTCCCGAGCCCCCTTCGGGCCGAGACACAAGGTCCTCTCGGTACAGCGTCAACGTTTCCACGCACCAGGTGCTCTATGTATGCGTACATTTCGTTGTTATTGTATTTTAGCTGCTTGGCGATAAGAGCCAGCAGATTAGCTGACAAGTAGCTGCCAGCAACTGGCAGAGTTGGCGTGGTTGCTGAACGACAGTCAATGAAGGTGTTCGGCCGGGGAGGCGATGATGACAGCCAACGTTGAATGCACTGAGCAGCCTCAGTCAGTGACTAAGAGAAGCTATCGAGTGCGCAGGCGGTGCAACTGCACCAGGGCCCATGGGCCAGAGGGATCTAGGCACCGGGTAACTTGGATTAAGGGTCCTGATTGATTTCAGCCACCAGTGCCTGTGTCAACCTTGCTACGGCACTGATGACGAGGCATCGATTCGGTGATCGACGTCAATCCGTACGATCACGATGCACGTGCTCATGAAAACTGAGAAATTATGGTTTATGAATTGTGCATATTTTAATAGAATATAAGCAAATTATTATTATTACACTTTAGATCGATGAAGCGAGCAAAACGTTTGCAAACGATATATATTAGTATAAACATTACAAACACGTTGGTAAACTTGTGTCCCGAAAGAATATTTTATTAAATCGAATCGTGGCCCTGATTGGTGACGACTGATTGCATTGCTGGGTGGGAGGGCGTCAGTATTGGGGAAAGAGGAGACACGGGGGAGGGGCCCGGTGTAGAATCACTGCATGCCGAGTTACTGACAGACAGACAGCGATGCAAGCAACGCCACTGCCCATGAAACACATAAATGCGTGGCTCTTTGTCAATCCACGACCTACTCAAGCCCTGCCATTCATGGGGGTTTCTTTGCCAATACCGAACTACGCTGTGGTCTGCGTGGTGTGGCAAAGGGGGCCCCCTGGAACCGGTTCAGACATCACTCGCCACCGATGTTCGCCAGTACCGGGAATCAGTGGTGATTGTAGCGCAGTCCGCTAACCACTGCACCGCTCTTCCACCCGCATTTGTTTTACAAAATCACCCAAGTAGCGCCACCACCACCAGCAGCACCACATAGCGACCCTTGCAACTGAGACTCGTCCTGTTCGCCATGGTGGCGAGATCTTAACTACCTCGCCTGGCATGCAGGAGGTCGTGAGTTCGATCCCGACCCTGACACCTGCTGCTGTATATTTGAAGTGTGCAAGTCTCTCTCCCCGCGGTCGCGTGGATTTTTCATCGAGGTCCTCCGGTTTTTCCCTTCACATGTAAAATCAACGTGCGTTGAGAGCATTAAGCTGCTTTAAATGTTCACGTGAAAAGCCACATCGTTGAGCTAGCATTTGGAATGGACAGGTCGCTTCTGAAAAAAGAGCCATAATAGCTGGTTTTAAAAAAAGTAGTTTTAATGTATATTCTTGGTTCTTTCGGTAAAGTCACGTAGAAGGGAAACAATAAAATAATGGTAAAGTAAATAATATTTTTTAATTATTTTATTGTTTCTCTTCTACGTGACTTTACCGAAAGAACCAAGAATATGAATCCCTGCAGTCACGAAAGCTCTTAATCAAAATAGTTTTAGTTTAGTTTGGTCTCTTGAGTTCTCAACCGGTTAAACAAACAAACTTGACTCGACCACTTGAACTACAACAAGTCCAACTTGACCGAACGAAGAGCGTGGGGCACACAGTCAGTGTGACAGACCCCCCCCCCCCCCGCGCTACGCTGCAATGGAATCAAGAGGTAAGCTCTGGGCACTGCGGGGAGAGGGGGGCAATGGGTCTGCAATCGTTCGGAGCCTAAGACCCTGGCGAGCGTGGGTTGTTAACCTACTCGCGGGAGCGGCGGCGTCGTTATTGGCGGTCTGCGGCTATTAACACCGAGAGACCTGGGTTTGATTCCCATGCAATGGAACGCATCAGTGGCGCAGTGCCGGGTTAAGCTAGTGCGGGGCCTGTAGCACATATGTTATGAAGGGGCCCTAAATTAAAAAAACACGTAAATATTAAAACACAATTTTTTTACTTGCATAGTAAGGCAATTGTATTTTTTCATTCGCTATACAGCCAGATGATACGACAAATCGTTAACATTAACCACCCAGTCGTTAATGAAAGTTGAAGGCAGTATAGTACTATAGTCATAGAGCAAATGCAGAATCACTGAACCGGAATTGATAGCTCGAAAGTATTTAGCGCGGGACCCTTGAAAGTGCGGAGCCCGTAGCTACTACTACACGTGTAGTAGTAGGTACTACATATGTAGCTACTTTTGCTACTAGGATAATCCGGAACTGCAGTGGCGAGTCATATATGAACCGGTCGTGCGTCCTCCCCTAGGTCGATTCGTCCTTAAATGAGTAATTGATCGAGACGACGGCGGTGGGTAAACATCAGCACTGGAGAGACAACGGCCTTAAGAAGTGCTCGCTAACAGTATTGCGAGATGCTGCACAGATCACCTATTGATGACTGTGGCAAGGCCAAGGCGTTACATGTGAATCAAGGATATGCCCTCATCTATGATGTAACCGAACGTGTTTATGAACAAAATTACTTGTAAACAATATTTCCAATAAACAAAAACACAGGTGCTGGGAATTCGTATGAATGATTACATGATATAATGTTAGATGGTACAGTAAGACCATTCATACTTTTTGCGTCTGTTATGCACACATCGAAATGGCATTGGTTGAATCAATCGTACTTTGCCAAGATATCCAGTCTCCAGAGGTTCATGATTACCTGCTGATATGTCATTCACACCAGGTAAACCTCACATCCAGGTGCATCTCACACTTACTCAAAAATATATCTCTCCCAGGCACCTGACTCCAAAATTTACATTCAGGTACATGTCACCCCTGCAGCTCACCTGCAGCTGAGATGCAAACGGCTTCACTCTCCCATCAATACATCACCACGTGCCTACCTCACCTTTACCACTCAACTTCACCACAACAAGAACATCCACCAATTACTCACAACTACCCCAGGCTCCTTCTTCCCACATCATTCTCACCACCACCACCACCACCCTGCTGCTCCATGAACTCACCACTAACCCACTACCACCCATCTCCCCACAGTCATCACCCACTCGCCATGATCCTTCATCCACTCTACTAACCAACCACCTAACCTATTACTCACCTTCATCCCCGTAGACTCACCACCCTCCAGAGTAGCCACACACCGACCACACCACTCCCTTCCTTCTTCTCCTCTCACTCACCCCCAGCCGCTCGCTTTCCCTTCCTCCCACCCACTCACTACCCATTATCCATCCCCTCTCTGTATCTCTCTCCTCCCCTCACTCAACATCCATCCATCGACCCACCAGCCTTCATCGGCCGGCTATATTATATGCGAAAGAAGTTACATATACAAAAATTATCAACTATGTATATTTGACCAGGTAAGGCCCACTAAGATATACGGCTCATTTTCAGAAGCGACCTGGCTACAAACGATAGCCCAACGAAATGACGTATCATGTGGAAATGTATCAAAGCACAGATGTCCTAAACGCGTGATGTTGATTCTAAATGTGGAGGAAGAAACCGGAGGACCCGGATAAAAATTCACACGACCGTGGGGAAAGTGAACATGCAAACTTCAAATATACAGCAGGCGTCAGGGTCGGGATCGAATCCACGACCTCCTGCATACCAGGCGAGGTCATTAACATCTCACCATGATCGGCGAGATGTTAACGACATACATACGTACATGCGGCCCACTCACCACCATCCTCCGCGCACTTACCCATGAATTAATTCTCCTTCCCATAACTGACCACCTCCCTCCCCCCACCCTTCCCTGTCTCCCTCGACGGCGGCGGCTCACCTTGATGCCCAGGTGAGTGTTGTGCCGGTCCACCCCGGCGCGCAGGTCCTTGCTGGCCTCGCGTCTCAGGAGGAAGGCGCGCGCGAACTTGGCGGCGTAGCGAACGTTGTCCCCGCAGCCGCCCCACTGCCACGCCTGGCGGTTCTCCAGGCCCGGCGTCTCGTCGCACGTGCAGCGCTCCAGACGCCCGCGGCTGCACGCCCGCGCCATGGCGTGGCCCAGGCCGGCCGCCGACACCGCGTAGAGGAAGGCGGTCTCGCGAAAACCTGCGGTGGATTTCCGTCCGCGCCGGTGGCGGATCGGCGGGAGGAGGGAGAGGAGGAGAGAGGGTTTGGGGGGACGGGGAAAGACGGGGAGATGAGGCGCGCGGCGGATGGTGGAAATGTGGAAATGTGGATGGAGGTGGAGGTGAGACATGGGATGGGGAGATTGAGGTGGAGATGGGGGATGGAGGTGAAGATGACAGAGGGGGAGGTGTGAGTGAAAAGGTGGGAATGGGAGTGATGACGAGAAAGGATTGTGGGTTTAGATGATGATAGATGAGTTAAAGAACGGGAATGGAGAGTGAGACGGGGGGGTGAGGTAGGGAGTGCGCATGGGCATGAGGAAGAGGATGGATTTTAGGATGGCGATGAGAAATATGGGGGGCGGGGCGAGGGAGGAGATGGCATTTGGCGTGGAGCAAGACAGCATAATGCTCACACGTATGTGTACTGTATACGCATAGACATTGATACATGTGCACTATATATGTATGTTGAACTTCTATCGCACTGTACATCGCCAACAGTGCAGATGGGAGGTGCGCATACGTGTACAAATTGACCTACAGACACATGCATAGTCAAATCTTCGCTTAAAGCTTTCGTGACTGCAGGGACTCATCTTCTTGGGACTTTCGGTGAAGTCACGTAGATAGGTTCAAAGAAAATAACAAAAAACTACGACGTTTCGATCGCATGAATACATGCATGGTCCTTATTAAGCACAGAGCTCTGATCAGCTTGTGCATCTGTGTCTCGACAGTCTTTAATGTGTATAACCCGTATTTATTCGTTTAACAAGCATGCACATGTCACGTATATATATACATGCACGAGAACATACATATGCACATCCACACATACGTACCGTACACATTAAAAACACACACACATACACATCGCACATGCATACCTATTTACAAGGATGTATATCAATACAAAGATCCCCCGTATGGCCTTAACAGACTCTTTGGGCAAGTGCTGTTAGCGAGCAGCACCTATGAAGGCCAACACGGCCCACATGAAAGCCAGCACCACGCCCGGCCGCCTTTGTCTCCCCAGAGGCGATGTTTACACACACCGCACCAGGTACTCATTTGAGGCTGAGGCGACCTAAGTATAGACGCACACATAAAAGACAAAGATCCCCCGTATAGCCTCAGCAGACTGTTGGGGCAAGTGCCGTTAGCGAGCACCTATGAAGGCCGGCACGGCACACGAGGGGGTGGGTGACCAGCACCACGCCCGGCCGCCTTTGTCTCCCGAGTGCTAATGTTTATAGGCCGAACCATTTGAGGAGGCTCATGGCCGGTTCAGAAAAATGTCACTGGTCTACGACGTGAACGGGAATCGAACTCGGGTGGCCGGGTTCGTAGCACAGTCCGCTAACCACTGCGCCACCGCTCCCTACACACACACACGCACACATGACAATCGCTGTGCAGATGAAGCCTTACATACAGTCAGTACACCAGTAGAGTAATAACTGTAGAGTGTTCTTTCGGTAAAGTCACGTAGAAGGGAAACAATAAAAACATAAAAATATAACACAATAACATTCTCACGACGTTTCGACTGCAACACAAGCAATCATCATCAGGTGTGAAAACCACAGCAAGAAAGTTTGAAAAAAGTGGCGGTTTTTCTTATTGTTTTTTCTTTTATTGTTTAATATTTTTTATTATTTTATTGTTTCCCTTCTACGTGACTTTGCCGAATGAAACAAGAATATGAATCCCTGCAGTCACGAAAGCTTTAAATACAAATAAACACTTAGATGAGAATGATAACTCTGTAATCAAAATTATAACGATTACACAAGTAATTATATCAATAACAATTCAGGCATAACCTACTGCACATACTAATACTATACACCCCTCTGTCAATCCACTGCTGGATAGAACCTCTCCCACACACACACATCGTGCTGAGCTGGTCAGTGCAGGTTGGTGAAGGTGAGCAAGGTTACGGGGCACAACCGGTTCAGTTCCCAAATCCGTTTCGGATATCACTCGCCGCTGATGCTAACCGTGGCCGGCAATCAAACTTGGGTTAACTGTGCTCAGTGCGCAGTGCCCGCACAACCTAGAAACTACGACAAAGAGCTTGCTATGTATCCCTCTTGTGAACATGAGAGTCACATCGCACGGTCGTATGTACTGTATATGCATGCTGAACTTCTTTCGCACCGTGCGTAGCCAACCGTGCAATTCGGTGCTGCGAGGCTCTTCACGTAAACTGCTCAACGAGGAACGCACCACAAGGGATGCGCGTTAGAGCGTGACAAAAAAGTGGGGCATCGCCCGGTGGAGAAAAAAAAACGTCAAAAAATGAGTTTAGTTTTTAGTTCGTTGCGATCGCCGCTGACACGACGTAGGCGCGTTTAGCGCGCACGTCGAAGACGCCACACGGCTCTCGCGTCCTGCACGTGGCCTCCGAGCCACCTTGGTAGCGGCATCATCATCATCATCACCACGCGGCCCCTCCCGGCTTGTGCCCTCGTCGGTCGCAACGCTCCGCTTTGGAATCCCCTTACCACCCCCCCCGTCTAATTTATTTTCCAAATACTTGCAATAATAACCTTTGGTCAATGGTAGACACGAATTCACTCTGAACTATGGGACATTCAATAGTGACGTTGGTTGTCCCCCCCCCCCCCACCCCCGGCAGCCTCTGAATAGCACGGTTGGCTACGTACGGTGCGAAAGAAGTTCAACATACATCCGTGCGTGCGTTCGTTACTGGGCTGCTTTGACTTTTCGGGCTTCTGGGTCTGTACGCAAGGGCAACCGAGATACAAACGTACGTTGAACTTCTTTTGCACCGTACCTAGCCAACCGTGCTAATCGGAGGTGCTGGGGAAGGACAACATACTAAACACCAAAAGCAGTTTTAAATACTTGAGTTTTCAATGTAGATTTAAAAGTGCATAGCTCCAGTGGCTTCCTAATATCGGAAGGAAGAGCGTTCCAGACGGCCGCATGTTTAAATACGAGAAAAAACCCATCCACAGCACTGCGCTGTGACATTGACGGCAAAAGCGCGCAGAAACAACAGTCTCTGTCGGCTGGATGAAGGCCTCCTCCATGCCGCCGTCGGTCGGAGGGGTTGTTCGGCCATACTTCACCACCCTGGTTAGTGAGGATTGGTGAATGGGTTTGTTTGGGAGGAGGGGGGGGGGGGGCAGGGGAGTTGGTGGGGATAATCGAACGTATGTGCAGTGGAATATGCTTCCTGCCGTTCGTACAAAGATCCCCCAGTAAATGGCCTGTAACAGACTAATCTTGATCTGTGACAGACTGTTGGGGCAAGTGCTGTTCGCGAGCAGCTATGGAGGCCGGAACAGCACACGAGGGAGTGGGTGGCCAGCACCACGCCCGGCCGCCTTTGTCTCCCCAGTGGCAATTTAAAAAAAAAAAAAAACACTACACTAGGTACTCAAATAAGGCTGAGTCGACTTAGCGGAGACCCAGGACCGGTTTCAGATAATCGCCACCGGTATTGTCCGTGAGCGGGAATCGAACTCGGGTCGACCGGGTTCCTAGCGCAGTGTAGCGCTCACCGCCGTCAGTACACACAGCCCAAGTCCGCACATTGGTGTCCACACACGAGTCGAGCGAGGATCGTTCATCCAGCAGTGAATTGACCACGGTTGACCATCATCATTCATATATTATTAGACACATGTAAGAATGAGAATACATTTTATCTACACGTGTCTGCTGTTCTACCGCAGAAGTCATACTATGACGACTGTATTATACATTATTGCAATCATAGGATTACGCTGTTGCCTGTTTTTATATATATACAGGACGTGTTCATAAAGTATTTAAAAACATATTTTAATGTATGCAATAAAGCATGTTATTAATCGCATTATATTACCATAGTGCATTAGACACACCTTTATACAGTGTAGAGGAAACGAAAGGTGCATGGTGTAGACTGTTGAGACACATTGCCTGTATTATATAGTGATTCTGCGTTGGCAGTGGTGCATACGCACAAATAATAATAAAAAAATCAATAACACTATCTTAATATGAAAACTCTATATATACTGGTCGACGTTTCGGGCAATGTCCCCTCTTCATAGCACTACACAGGTTTATATTCCGACCCGTACGTGTGGACTTATGGATTGTCTGAAACACACATCTTCATTTCGCCTTCGTTTTGGTGGTGCAAGTGCTGCGAGCGAGCACCTAGGGGTGGGTGAGCAGCAACCACGCCCGGCCGCCTTTGTCTCCCCAACGGTGATGCAGCACACACACACACGGTGCTAGCTCTAGGATCGTTTCAGATGTGGCTCGCAAATGATGTTAGCCCTGGCCGGGAATCGAACTCAGGTTGCCTGGTTCGTAGAGCAGCGCTTCGCGAACTTCTAATGCGTCACCACACCTCGCTTGTATAAAGGGGCCGTCCATAAATGACGTTACGCGATTTTGGACGATTTTTAACCCCCCCCCTCCCTCGTCACACGGCGTCACAAAAAGTCAGACCCCCCTCAAATATGACGTCACAAAGCTCTGCCCCCTCCCCCCCCCCCAAAAAAAAACATGCTTCAAATCGCTTTAAACTATTGTCATTGTAGTGCGTATTTAATGTGGCGCTGTACTCTGATGTTGTAGGAGAAAACATTTATTACAAAGTCTATTTAATTAAGTAGAACGTGTTGTCTATATTTATTTAAAGTTGCGCATTTTGATGTCACGTCACATTTCTCAAACCCCCCCCCCCTCGTCACCCATCGTCACAAATGTTTAACCCCCCCCCCCCAGGCGCGTGACGTCACTTATGGACGGCCCCAAAGGTCCTCATCTAGCCAACATAGATAGTTGGGGCAAGTGCTGTTTGCGAGCACATTTAGATGTACAGTATACACACAAAGCCAACGACACTCCCATTGAGCGCTCTAAACAGATCTGTTGGGACAAGTGCAATGAGCGAGCGCCTATTAACGCCCCACCTCCGTTCAGCACGGTTTGGCTACGTAC